CATTGTATCTATGTGGGTAAACAAACCAGGGTCTTCAGTGTTATGAGCTACAGCTTTAGCCACAAGGCTACCCTACTGCTTTTGATGGGTTTGTGGACTATATATGCATTTGATCAGTCACGGTTTAAAACATTTTTTGTGGGTGTATCGTTATGTTTTCAAATACAAAAAGATCCTTGCATGAGAGTGGCACAAATAAATTACATTCCTGTGCCTTAACAGCATGTTTTGAAATAGTTGTATGAAATACATACCTGGTGGGGATGTTAATTATATGAAACAAGTGATAAATATACCCTCAATCTTCAATAATTCTGCAGAGTTTTAAGAGGCGACTAACGGGATCAGGTGGTCAGGCTTGCTGACTTGGACGATGCATGTCATCGTATCCCAATTGCATAGATTGATGCTCATGATGTCAATTACTGGATTGCCTCGTCCAGACTTGATTATTTACAGACCGCCGTCATATAGCTGGAACATTGCTGAGTGCGGCGTTAAACAACAAACAAAACAGTTTGATTCTTGACATAAACCTTGTCATCATCGCCGACTAAAGGGGAACGGGTGGTCAGGCTCTGTGACTTGGCTGATATTGTGTCAACATGACCCAGTGATGGGGATCTTTGTTCATGCTTACAGTCACTGATTTGTCTGATCCAGGCTTGTTTATTCATGGCTGACTGCAGCTTTAAAAAAATATTCACTCACTTACTCATCACTCAGACCATCTCTGAGCTTCTGCCTAGAGACCACCTCTGTGTTCTAGTGGATAGAGCTTCTGCCTGGAGACCACCTCTGTGGTCTAGTGGATAGAGCTTCCGCCTGGAGACCACCTCTGTGGTCTAGTGGATAGAGCTTCTGCCTAAAGACCACCTCTGTGGTCTAGTGGATAGAGCACCTGCCTAGAAACCACCTCTGTGGTGTAGTGGATAGAGCTTCTGCCTAGAGACCACCTCTGTGGTGTAGTGGATAGAGCTTCTGCCTAGAGACCACCTCTGTGGTCTAGTGGATAGAGCTTCTGCCTGGAGACCACCTCTGTGGTCTAGTGGATAGAGCTTCTGCCTAGAGACCACCTCTGTGGTCTAGTGGATAGAGCTTCTGCCTGGAGACCACCTCTGTGGTGTAGTGGATAGAGCTTCTGCCTAGAGACCACCTCTGTGGTCTAGTGGATAGAGCTTCTGCCTAGAGACCGCCTCTGTGGTCTAGTGGATAGAGTGTCTGCCCAGAGACCGCCTCTGTGGTCTAGTGGATAGAGCTTATGCCCAGAAACCAGCTCTATGGTCTTGTGGATAGAGTGCCTGCCTGGAAACCACCTCTGTGGTCTTGTGGATAGAGTGCCTGCCTGGAAACCACCTCTGTGGTCTAGTGGATAGAGCTTTGCCTAGAGACCACCTCTGTAGTCTAGTGTATAGAGTCTCTGCCCAGAAGCCGCCTCTGTGGTCTAGTGGATAGAGCTTCTGCCCAGAGACCACCTCTGTGGTCTAGTGGATAGAGCTTCTGCCTAGAGACCACCTCTGTGGTCTAGTGGATAGAGCTTCTGCCCAGAGACCACCTCTGTGGTCTAGTGGATAGAGTGCCTGCCCAAAGACCACCTCGATGGTCTAGTGGATAGAGTGTCTACCCAGAAACAATCTCTGTGGTCTAGTGGATAGAGCTTCTGCCTAGAGACCACCTCTGTGGTCTAGTGGATAGAGCTTCTGCCTGGAGACCACCTCTGTGGTGTAGTGGATAGAGCTTCTGCCTAGAGACCACCTCTGTGGTCTAGTGGATAGAGCTTCTGCCTAGAGACCGCCTCTGTGGTCTAGTGGATAGAGTGCCTGCCCACAGACCACCTCGATGGTCTTGTGGATAGAGCGTCTACCCAGAAACCACCTCTGTGATGTAGTGTATAGAGCGTCTGCCTGGAGACTGCCTATGTTGTCTAGTGGATAGAGCTTCTGCCCAGAGACCACCTCTATGGTCTTGTGGATAGAGTGTCTGCCCAGAGACTGCCTCTGTAGTGTAGTGGATAGAGCATCTGCCCAGAGACTGCCTATGTGGTGTAGTGGATAGAGTGTCTGCCCAGAGACCGCCTCTGTGGTGTAGTGTAAAGAGTGTCTGCCCAGAGACCGCCTCTGTGGTGTTGTGTATAGAGTGTCTGCCCAGAGACCGCCTCTATGGTGTAGTGTATAGAGCGTCTGGCCAGAGACCGCCTATGTTGTCTAGTGGATAGAGCTTCTGCCCAGAGACCACCTCTATGGTCTTGTGGATAGAGTGTCTGCCCAGAGACTGCCTCTGTGGTGTAGTGGATAGAGTGTCTGCCCAGAGACTGCCTATGTGATGTAGTGGATAGAGTGTCTGCCCAGAGACCGCCTCTGTGGTGTAGTGTATAGAGTGTCTGCCCAGAGACCGCCTCTGTGGTGTAGTGTATAGAGCGTCTGGCCAGAGACTGCCTCTGTGGTGTAGTGTATAGAGCGTCTGCCCAGAGACCACCTCTGTGGTGTAGTGTATAGAGCGTCTGGCCAGAGACCGCCTCTGTGGTGTAGTGGATAGAGCGTCTTCCTGGAGAGCAGAAGGTTGGTGGCCATACTGAAAGACATTAAAAGATGGTACTTGTTGTTAACCTGCCTGAGATAAAGCAAGAACTGGTCAGCTTGAAGTCAGTATGTGTGTGTGAGTTGGGTATCCATGTTAAACTGTAGCTTGATATCACAGTGGGCTAGTGTAAGTCTGGACTAGTACAAGCACACACACTCACTGCACCGCTCCGCCATGTAAGTGCAATAATCGTGGACACAAATTTGAACTCCACCTCATTTACTCACCACCTAACAACATGTCCACTTTGCTCTGATCACTGAGAACACGTTCCATTAAGAGGAACATCTCATATCTCTGGCATTAAGATCTTTTTATCCAGACTACTTCTTCATCTTTCCTATCATCTATGATGGATCATAATTTGTCATCAGAATGTCTGTGTATGCGATATTAGGACACTAAAAAGTTACCTCCAGAAAGAGAGTGTTGCTTCTTCAAGATGATAGCTTTCAACAGAGAGATGAAAGTGATTAAAGATAAAGTCCTGAAGACCTAATACTGAACTGCCAAACATATTGAACTCAAACGACATGGATCAAAGAACCAAGCCGTTTTCAGCACTAGAGAAACTCTGACCCCATCCAGAATCTGGGTACATGAGGTTCATGGAACAATATTGTACCTATGAATTGACATATACTACTCAAAATAAGTTAAGGACCAACTGATTCTTTTGTTTTGCTATGAATAATGCTGGTGGTCCTTAATTTCTTTTGAGTAGAGTACATGATTTCCATGTCCCATTTAGGGATGGGTAAGTATTGTGAGTTGCATCCCTTGGCTGGATAAGGATTTGCTGATTATAGGTCTGAATTATCAGTCTCTGCTTGGGTGTTCCACCATAGTATTAAATGTCTATTAATTGCATCACTTTTAGGGTACACGAGTGGCACAGTCATCTTATTTGCTGGAACTTGCTATGCAGAGTTGCATCCCTTGGGCACAACAGAAACCTCTGATCGAATCCTAGTTCGCCCTGATTATGTTTCTGGATTTTTGTCACTTCAGCCTTCCCCCCACATTAAGCTGACACACCATGATATAACTGGAAAACTGTTCATATTGGCTTTAAAACTCATTCACTCACTCACTTTGATTTGCTCTCATATTAATCAGACTTGGCTCTCATATTAATCAGTCTGAGATATTGCTGTAACACTGTTCATAGCTGTCCAACTCACTCACTGATCCCAACCAGTTACAAACTCTCTGTCTCCATACAACAACGACTGCATTGGTGGTCTAGTGGATAGAGTGTCTACCCGGAGAGCAGAAGGTGGGTGCGATGCCCTGGTCGTATCATGTTGTTGTTACCCTGCCTGGTGCTTGGCTCTAAGGGGATGAAGTTCTGTACGGCTCGGAGTCAGTATAATGTGTCTGTGTCTTCGAAATGAATCCGGGGGCGGTGGGGAAGCCTATTGGTTAAAGCAATCACTTGTCACGCATAAGAGGTGACTACCGGGATCAGGTGGTCAGGCTTGCTGACTTGGTTGATGCATGTCATCATATCCCAATTGCAATTATTTACAGACCGCCATCAAATAGCTGGAATATTGCTCAGTGAGGCGTTAACCAACAAACAAACAAACAAACTTGTCATGCCGAAGGCCTGGGTTCGATGCCCCACATGGGTACAATTGTGTGAAGCCCATTTCTAGTGTCCTTCACCGTGATATTGCTGGAATATTGCTAAAAGAGGTTTAAACCATACTCACTCACTCATTATGCTTCCATGTTAAACTGCAGCATGGTAGCTCAGTGGCACTATAAAACCGGTGTTAGTCCAGACCTTTTCAAGCAAGCATATGCCAAGAATATATCAAAAATTATTCGTAATAATATTAAACGTCAGTCTCACTGGATTTATTTTCAGTTCAGGTTGGTAAATCAGTGGATGGGAATTTGATGGTTATTGAACAATATCAGATCATTGATATACCGAAAGTTTATACACCTGAAGCCATATTCAGATCAAGAGTTTCATGGAATAAACCCTAAACAAATTGCCAGCTCCTTATAACCTGCATTATTATGACATTCTGTGAAGTTAAAAACAGTTTTTTGTATCTTTTTGCATCAAATATCTATTCCACATCATTAAAGAGTGTTTAACTGTTTGATCGGCATTCTAGAAGTTGGTGAGTAAATATAAAAACAAATAACATCTTTTGGCACAATAACTTCCTATCTATATATATAGCAATGATTTGATGAAGATTTTTACACTGTAAAAAAAAAAGTTGATGAAAATTCCATGCCCCTCTTTGCAGTGTAATGACTTTCTTACACCCTTGTGTTTTTTGTGTTTTTTCTGTTAAGGTGCAATTGTTCCTGATGTACACACAGCATCTTCAAAGTCAACGCTAGTCTTAGTTTGCCTGCTGTTTCTTACTAAAACCAATTGTTTGCTTCTTCAGGCGGACACGGTACCTGAAATTACCCAGAATCCTGACCTTTCTGCTGTGTGATTGCCACTTCCTCTCTGGTTATCTTCTATAGACACATGTGCAGTCGTTAACGGCCGATTTGCATCCTGCGTCAACTGGAGGCAACTCAATTCTGCAGCAGTTTCATGTGGTGATGTTTTCTTGTGAAAAAAGTTAGCATCTCTACCAGAAGTATTTTCAGACAGTTACTGTCAAAACATGGGGTTCTAGACTGGATGTTGCACAAAAGCTGTGGATTCTTGATTGTCTTCCATTTTCCTTGGTGTTGAAGTCTTGTTTTGAGCTTAATTGCTGATTGTAAATGGGATCTTTGACTTTCTCTATATGCTCTGCATTTTCAATCATAGTATTATCTGTTTGTTTGGGTAGAATTGATGCGTGTAACATTTTGCAAAAGTGTCCTCATGAACAATCTCAATAAATTCAGATCTTGGATTTGATACGTCTCTGTCCAGATCTGACAAACTTTTCATGTGAAGTCTCATTAGGTAAACCCTGAACACCCATTCAAATAAAGGATGTTTGGGGAGTCGATCTTATGAGAGCTTTCTAAAATGACTGGGGGCACGTGTGGCCCAGTCGTCTAAGGCGCCGCGATTCGCTGTGCAGAGTTGCGTCCCTTGGGCACGCCAGAAACCTATGAATGTGGCTTCTAATCCCGGTTCGACCAGATTATGTTTCTAGGTTTGTCAGCAGCATACCCGTGCTTGTGGGTTTCACCGAAGTGGTGAATGTCTGAGGTCCTGCATCACTTCGGGCTTTCCTCCCACGTTAAGCTGACACGCCGTGATATAACTGGGATACTGTTAAAAGCGGCGTTAAACCCAACTCACTCACTCTAAAATGATTTTGCTTCACTGTATTCGTAACTCCGCACTCAACAGTATTCCAGCAATATACCAGCATTATGTAAGTAATTTAAACCGGACCAGACAATCCAGGGATTGACATCATGAGTATATTGATACATGCAATTGTGATAAAATGATATTCATTTTTCATCACAGGGCCTGACCATGGATCCATTCAATGGCTTTCTACTTCAGAACAAAAGATAAGGTGTAAACGATGTCCACAACCTGGCTTGGTCATTATTCCTTATTCAGAGCTGCCAATTTATGTTGAGTTTGATATAAGATATGCTGTTCAGAAGGTTACACTGAGTTGTACTAAGAATTTAGAAGCCTTCACTCTGATTGGCTGATTAGAAAGGTCACCTGACTTGATGGGATTAAATGAGATTGCTTCATGAACAACCCTTTCTTTCGGATATTTCAATTATAGATGAATGCTATGTTGTGGTATAGCATCACAACTGACAGTGCAGACTTGCACCCTCTCAGCAACCAGGATGTCCGACAGAATATCCGAGGAAGAATAGGTCTTCAAAAACCCATGCTTGTCATAAAAGGCGACTATGCTTGTCGTAAGAGGTGACATGGGATCAGGTGGTCAGGCTCACTGACTTAGTTGTTGTATGTCATTGTATCCTGATTACGTGATTGATGCTCATGATGTCAATCACTGGATTGTCTGGTCCAGACTTGATTATTTACAGACAGCTGTCATATAGCTGGAATATTGCTGAGTGCAGTGTAAAACAACAAACAAACAAAATAGAGTTTGTCGTAAGAGGTGACTTATGGATCAGGTGGTCAGGCTCTGTGTTCATATTATCAGTCACTGGATTGTCTGGTCAAGACTTAATTATCTACAGGCCATCATACAGCAATGTCAAACAATACATACAAATCAGCAAACTATTGCAGAGTAAAAGCTATTCTTTTGAAAGTGTTTGATAAAATTTGGTTAGGAGCTCTGCAGTGTTCAATAGTGTTTTATTTAAGGTTTTGTTCACAATTTATAACACAATTGTGAAGTTTTTGCAATCTTACGCAAATCTGTCCAGAGTAACCTAATTAGGCTGAGTTTCACAGCAACATTGCTGGCATGATTCTTTTCCCAACAACTCAAGGTGTTCTAAGATTTTTCCCGTTTGGCTCACAGCCAAAGTGTTATCTCTTTCCATTCTGTGCACATTTTATTTGTCTCTTGTATGTTAATAATGAGAAGATAAAATCCATTGAAAACCCCACTTCTCTTGACTTTTGTTAGCTCCTAAACAATTCTACAGCTCATTACAGAGAAGTCTCCATGATTTGAGTGTGTTGTGTTAAAAATGGTAGTGTTTATATTTCACACGAAGAACCAGTTGGTTGTTTCCATCTTCTTGAATTACAGGACTGGATGGAAGTAAAATGTTGCCAGCATTCCTGGAAGCACTTAGCATTAATTTTAGAAATAAAAAGAAACGTTTCTTGTGTTAGATTCTATCATTTCCATGGTTTTTCCTTACCATCATTCCAGCCAAGCCCATCATTAATTAGTCAACAACATCAAACAATTGGGTGGAAAAACGTGAAATAAGTGTTTATTATCGTATGTAAGAAGCCCTATTAATTCAGCATTGGTGTGTGAAATGTCACACATTTTACAAATGAAAATGTGCTCGTTTCCGAAGCATCTAGGTCTCAATAACTATTCAAGATATGTTCTTGAAACTTGTTTTATGTATCTTGATTATCTTGTTTTGCTTTTTACTCTGCAGAACTTTTCATTTGTGATAATTTTACTGCTTTTCGTGTTCTTTTTAGCCACTCATCAGGAGCCAGACATAATATATGGTTGTTAAAATTATTTTCAGATGCAAGTCAAATTATCCATGGATGTAAGAACTCTTGAGCAGGACTAAAAAATAGTTAAGATAACTGGAACTATTTGTCCCCAGTTGCTGTTGCAAATATTTTATTTTAGACATTTTGTGATATTTATTTGAATGGAATATATGGCTTTTTTATTTTCTATCAAAGACAAGTTTAAGCCGGTTGAGGAGATTTTTAAGAGCAGGACTAATATATTTTCAAACTTATCTACATCAAGAATGAACATCTTGAAGCCCAACCTTCAGGAATATTTCATTTTGGATAATTAAGAAAACAATCTCAAATTGTCCATGATGTCCATTTCAAACAAACTTAATGTTTATATAACTTCTACTTGTGATTCCTTATATTGAAAATATAACATTTGGAAGTCACATTTTATAATGGTGTGCATCCATCTAGAATGGCTCTTGTCTACACTTCTTGAGGCATCCAACTGCTGTTATAACAGTACCTTGAGCACAGAAAACATTGAACATGGTACTTTACTAAGGGGGAATCTCACACTTTTTGTTTTAGCTTTTTCAGATGCACCTGCACTAATGCAATAATGCAGTACAGCAATAATGTTTGTGTGTGATACAGGGAAATATAAGATAGCCACGCCATAAATTGCAAAAAACCCAATGAAGAACAAAGTGTGGTTTATTTCACGACAAAACATTGTTCTATTATGACATCATTTGTGGAGATGTGCTCACAACTTGATGACGTATATTGGACAACATTATTTTTGTGAGGGGAATGTCCTGTGAGTTGTTCCCTGTAGAAATAGCTGGGCAACGCAGTTTAACATCATGGCCAAACGATTGCATCGAAAAGCGGGAGAGATATGACAATCGGTATTGAGAGAAAAGGTAAAGGGAATTTTCATGATGTTGATATGTCATATAACAATTAAATGACTCATGGTCGTTGTTTATTTCTTAAATTATAATGCCAGGAAATGTGTTTACAAACATATTTGAAAGAGAGTACCGTAAATGACCGTAGATAAGCCAAATTTTGAGAACCAGAAAAATGAGTCGGCTCATGTATAGGTTACACTTTCATCAAACTCTTTAAAAAATCTACATTGTATCGCTTCAGTAAACTTCAGTAAAATGTGAAATTTGCGATTAAACATCATTAGACATGATGATTTACCATTTCGATTGTATTTCTTGTGATGCTCGGCAATGTTTCATATGCAGGGATGAAGATTACCGTGTGTATTGTCTCGTAAACTAATCCAGAAATATCAATCAGCTGTACATACGTTTTCTCCCAATCTAACGGTGATTACGTTAAAACATGCCCAATATCATACCTGAAAAGAATTTTGATGCAATGATAAAAAAAATACCATCTTTAACTACTATTTTACTATGAATAATATATTCTGATATCGTGTTATTTTAATTGCAGGTTTTGCTCTATAGTACTATAAATGTAAGTAAACTTTTGGTTTGTTGATATGTTCAAGTTGTTAGGTTAAGGTAAAGAAACTCATTATCATGCTAATTTCAGACCAAACTAAGGAAATCAGATCAGGAGTTGGAATGAACCATTCATAAGGAATTCCACTGGGGAATATTTTGCAAACTGTAATTTCCAGCCGTTTAATTTTGAGAGCAATTTGTGTTGATAAAATCAGATGCAGTTCCCCAGAGATGAGCTACTGAAACAGAGCCAGTTTATTTCCCATCTGATGTGGGTCCAGTGCAATGGCTGGCAACTGCTGGCGAGCTTCAAGTAGTGGAGGCTAAATCACGAGGGACAGGGGCTGAGATTGGGTTGTGGTACCAGACCCCAGATGGATCATGTGTTGATCGTCATGTGAAACTTGATCCCATTGTCCTGTTTGAATATATTTTATCATTTTCTATTTTTGTAATTGCATATATGTTCAAGGGGCAGTAAATGTTCGCTCGTCGCATAAAAGATCCGGGTTTGATTCCCCACATGTGAGATCTCAATTTCTGGTGTCCCCAGCCATGATATTGCCAAACTATTGCAAAAGTGGAGAAAAACCATAGTCATTAACTCGTTCATATGTCTTTAAAATATACACCCTATTCAGAAAAGAGGGTGAAAAGGACCCTGTCAAGAGTCAACTGAAATGAGATTTTGGTGGTCACCAAGTGTGAGTGAGTATGGTTTCATGCCACTTTTAGCAATATTCCATCTTTATCACAGCAGGAGACACAAGAAATGGGCTTCACACATTGTACCCATTGTGGAAACGAACCCGGGCCTTCTGCTTGACGAGCAGACGCTTGAACCACTAGGCTACCCACTGTCGCCACAAAGGCATCCTCCAAAGGCAATGGAGTTAACTGACTGTAAAAGCCAGTTTCCACCCTTGCCAAACTAAGCTGGAATGTCTGTTCGATCATAGCGCCACCAGTGGCTATTACGAGTTATGTCCCTTCAACGTCGCAACTATAGTTCAGATTCCAACTCTTATATTACTTACATTTGCTTCAAACAAAATGGTGGCAATTCTGATCAATATTAAAGATCTATATTGTAATATAACTGATCTTACTTTTCGAAGTGCATCAAATCCTGTAAGCACCTTGATTAAAAACATGAAAAGATTTCTGTTGATGACATGTTTTGCGAATCCTGCAATCAACTGAAATCAGCATGGCAGTTTACGACCTGGATGTAGATTTTATGCGATTTTGATTGGACTATGCATAGACTCGTTAGTCCAGCCAAAATATAACTCCATAATACCAGCCTAGTTCGGCAAGGGTGGAAACTGGACTTTTATAGTCAATTAACTCCCTATCCCCAGGAAGATGCCACAATGTATGACCTTGATGATATATTGCTATCAACCTCCAGCAGTACAGATTGGTGCTCATGCTCTCAATCACTTGTTTACCTCACTTGATTAGTTACACACAGCTGTGACATAAATGGAA